AATATATTATTTTTTCTCTCAGCACTTAGTCCCATGACAAAGTTAATTTGGTAACAATCTTGCTACATGACCCAGGTATAACCTTATATTGAGCCAGCACATATGAAGAAAATTTCATTGTCGATTGCATGCTGCTGTTGCACAGATTCGCCACACAGGCACACAGACACCTTACACTCGGAGCACGGAGTAACTAATAAGCAGCAGATTGAAGTTTTCACTTCTATTAGTCCTGCTAAAGCCAGAGCAATTATTTTTGTCCAAATGTCCAAGGCCTGGGCTCACATCCCAGAGGAATAGCAGGAAATAGAAATATAACATTTTATTAATAGATTAAATTTCCTTTGTGCCAGATAGGAAAACAGAAAGATTAGAATAATTCAGACTTTTGGCTATCACTGGGTGAAACATTTCTTCTGGAACTCGTCATAAAATGATTCTTTAGTTTCTTGGCAGAATGAGAATCCCAAGCTAAAAATTATTATGTCTATTTATGTGTATCTTGTCAGGGGTGCCTAGTTGAGACAAAGCGTTAATATCAGATTATAGTTTTTCCAGAATCAACATCATTAGTAAACAAAAAAGAGGAAAAAAGCTCTTAAATCTAAAGTAATTGCCATTAACAGTGTGTCTCATTGCAGAACATCAGCACTGAATGATAATCTCCAGAACAGTTCTGCTTAGTGTTCAATGAATTGGAATAAATATGGAATTTTTCATCAGACCTGGAGATAGTCCCCATTACCTGTAAAGCACTTTGAGTGGAGTGTCCAGAAAAGCACTATATAAGTGTAAGCAATTATTATTATTATTATTATTATTTAAAAAGTCACATGTCTCAGCAAAGACATTCAGAAGATATGTGTATAGTATAAGCCACATGACGGGCTCCCAGTATAGAGCACCCCAACCAAGTCTGATATCAATCCTGTGCAAATCAAACAATGTAGAGACATAAACCCAAGAGAGATCTGCAAGTTAAAAAGGGTCACCATCTTTGGCATGCAATGTGGACTAATGGCTGTGCCACATTCAATTACGGACCATAAACTGGATTAAAAAATATTTTAAGTTCATTTGTTTAACATACAGTATTGGTGTGTGCTCAATAATATTTTGCCATGTCTGACCTAATACTCCACTTAATGTAAAGGCAGTGTGCATACGGTAATACCCTTTCCTATATTACTGTATAACAGGACTCCAATTTCCTGATCTCTAGTTACAGTATGTGTATTTTTTCTTGTGGCTAAAAAAGGCTAATTCTTCTATATTATTTTATACTTTTCATCCATTGTTTATTATTTATTCCTGGTTATCTTTCTTAATATGATCAGTTATGCAGAGTTAACGACCTTAAATTAAATGTGTGAGTTAAAAGGAACATGTAAAGGAGAAAACACTTTTAACTATTATTGCTACGACACCATATACAGTACCATGTTGTTCAGGTAATTTTGTTCTAAAGTGCTAATCATAAATTAAATTTAAAAGTAGGTAATGCCATCTTTTACATCCATAGATTTTCTATTCTTGATTAATGTTGTGTCTATATCATTTTAAATTGGTTATTAAAATATTTAATGACATGCAGTAAATTTTAACTTATATATGGGGGATACCCAATGTTATTTTGGCTCTTAATCTAATATTGTAATGAATGCTTCAGCAATCCATTATTGCATCTGAATATTGTCAATTTTGTGATGTATGATTATTTCTATATATATTATACAATGTTCTTCCCTAATTGAAAAATCATCTATACATGTTTAACAGAAAGGAGACATTATAAAATTAATGTATGTGACAGTTATTTTACATAGTTGTGCTTTAGCTTCTGTGTAATTAAGCTCTGATTACTGAATGATTGTGATGACAATTTTTTCTTCTATTGACACCTAGTCACTCTCTGGCAGAAGGCATGGCTTGTCGACTTACAATGGTTCTAACCTTTCACCTCAGTGGGACGGATATTCAAACTATCCCTGGTTGGAGTGACGGAAAGCTATTTCACTCTGATGACTGACTGGAGCCTAAATGAATACCCTTGTATTCATACTGCAGATCCCGCAGAACAAGAATCCATCTCAGAGCTGTCTGACAATCGGCACTCATTTGTTCCTGTGATTCGCAGGCATCCTGGGTAACAAGCTTCTGGTTGTGGATAGGGAAAGGATGAATGATTATCTTTCTCCCCTGTCCCCCTATAGCCTTGACCAAGAGGAAGGTGCACATAGCCTTTGTCATTGACCTTGATCACCAACGTGCCTGGCTTCAAAGCCTTGAGAGACCTGGTTCTATACTCGGTGTCTGACACAACACTTTGACTTCTTATCCTCAGTGCACCTAGAAAGATTACACTCTTCAGCACTTTCTATATTTTCATATTTTACATAATGCAACTGTAGAGCAGCAGCAAGTGCATATCCTAATTAATGGCATGACAATATCATTGTTTGCACTAAGAACAACTATTAATATTTTAATAACCTTCTCCAATAGCGAAATATACTTTGTATTATTCAGATATGACACTTATTTTAGAGATATTTGTGACTATATGCACAGTGTAAAAGATGTACACATATAGTATATAATATAAAGTATAGAGTGAAAAAAATAAATGGGTAGATATTTGTTACATAACGTACTCTAAGCATTCTAATAATAAACACATATTCCTTTACTGTATATAGATGTTCACAGTCTCATGTAAGATGTATGATATATTCCATTTATTTATGAAATCCGATGGTTAGAAACCATTTCAGATAAGCTTTTTATAAGTAATCTTAAGGTTAGGGGTCATTGCCCTTCCTGCTCTTGTGAGAAGTCAATTGCCCTTAGGCCAAGGAGCATGAATTGCACTCTATACAACAAGAGGTTTGGAAAAAAGACTGGTTCATAATAATTTTATTTTAAGACATGACACAGTGAAACAAACTGGAGCTACAGCATTTAAAGCCTGAATCTTATTTCACCAGGATTGTAGAGCTCCTGTCCTCTGTGTGACCGAAAGGAGTTTTGGGATCCTTTCTGACACACTGCTTACATGTATTTTCATGCAAATTCTACACATGAGCTTCCTGCCCTGCTGTAAAAGATGTAAATATCTAAGAAATTTTCCAGATCAAGTTATGCTGTCACAAAGGAACCCAATCTGTGAGCAAGCAACCATAGACTGTGCCATTCGCCACAGGTCAATACTATGACGGATGGGTCTGAGGTGAGTTACTGCGAATGCCATAGACTCCATTCTCTGTTGAAATAGCTGAAAAGACAAATTAATACTGAAGTGGACAGTATTGAACTGGACTGTCTTGCAATGCACTCGAATAGACTGAAGTAGATTACCAAAATCAGACCTCTATGTGCTTCAATCAACTGGACTGGCTTTGTAGGGTAAACATCACAAGGGAAACTAGATATGAATAGATTATGATACAAAACAGTGGCTGGGAGAAGCGAGGCTGTCAAAAGGCTTTGTTAAAAGATGTAGCCAACCTTGAATGTGCAAATTTCAAGTGGTACGGGGTTTCTTTCCTTCATTCATTTTGATTAGAAGGAATTATTGAAGCCTCTGTGCAAACAAGATCATTTTTCTAGGGAAACATATTGGGGACTTGGGAATTTCTAGCTATATCTGAGTTGATTGAAAATCATTCTGATTTGGCAGCTTCAAAGGTTACCTGCGAAATGGGTTCAGGAGAGGTCTAAGCTCAGTTCCCAGTGCCAATCTGATTCAATGTAGCACTGCTGGCCGGGGAGAAAGCAAAGTGACTGGGAAATATCTACTCGCTGTTATCTTGTGGATGCAGTCCCTAGATTCAGATGGAAGGCAGGAGTGTGACCTAATAGTTCACTGCTGAAGGCTGGGAGCTGGGTGATCCTGGCTTTGAATGTCATTGACCCCTGAGGTGACCTTAAGCGTGGAGCTCTGGGGTTAGTGAATACCCTCCTAGTGTGGTGGAGGTGATAGAAAAAATGATTGCATGAACCTTTGAAAGACCCCAGGCCTATAATAAGAAGTGGACACTGCCACACACTGTTTCAGGGGGATTCACATCCACAAAAGCATAGCTTTCCCCTTAAGCAAAGGAGAGCAACAAAGCCTTATACAACATGAATGCTAGATCCTTTACTGGTGAAACTACTGAACAAATAAAAAGACATCCTTATCTCAATTTCAAAATAGTTTAGTTAAACCATTTTATTTTTAAAATGTGTTATATACTGTATGCCTTTCTCTGTGGGTCAAGCTTAATTTTGTGTGGAGCATTGATAAATAATGTTTGTGTGTGATGGAGCCAGTCTTTTCCTTGTACCATTTTAATTGTGCAATGAAGAAATGTTCACACCATGCTTGTTATCTGCATCTGGTAGCCACAGTACTGTGTGTTAATGGAACCTCCAGATAGCAAATCTCTTTGGTTCTTTGAAATGTCTCAAATTAAGTATTACTGGACAGCAGTTAGTGGCATTTGTTGCCAAATATAAAGCTATTTTCAAGCAAAAATGCTTAACTCATGCATTATAACAAAAAATTTAACTTTAAATGCATAAAGAATATTTGACATTTACATGAAACGAAAGGGGATATGCTTCCTTCTTATTCCTTCTGTGACTGACTGACAATAGTTTGTAGATTGGAACAGAATTATTAAACCTTAAGAAAGGAATGACACTCATTAGGGTAATCCATGTCTATTGTATACTTTTTCTGATGCTGACCACAACATTTTTCGGTTCCACCTTATTGATCATCTACCAATACATTCCAATGAGTATTGACGCTGGGCACAGACTGTGCAAAGACATTACTGAGAGGTTTAAATACAATGGATTAGTGCAATGCAGTATTTGGCTGAAGTTAGCCCCTGTAGCTACAAGATTTTCTCTAAATTGCCTAAATATACTACTGTATATTAAGTACTGCAATGGAGAATAATTTATTTTTTATTTTTTATGAGAGATAATAAATTGCTCGGCACCTGATCTGACCTAGATATCCATATAGCAGAAAATAGAATTAAATTGAATCCTCAGGGGAACAGAATTTTGTCTAGAATCAAGAAGCAGAAATATTAGATGTAAGGAAGATCAGAGCCAGGCACTTCTAATGAAGTTGCTCATAAGCAGTGAGAAATATACAGAAGGAGAAAACTAGAAAAAAACAAGGAAGAAGATGTGGAACACCTGTCAGAATATCAGACTTAGTGAAAATGAGACTTTTGTCTATAATCTATGCTCTTGACTTTAAAAAGATCAGTGTGTTAAAAGGATGCTAAGCAAACTGATTAAAAAGAGAATTATTACATTATAGGATTTTGGAGTACCAAGTTGGAGAATAGCTGGGGGCCTGGATTGTGTTTGGATCTTCCCAGCTGCACTGAGTTTAGCAGACAAAATTCTATTTTGGAACAAGGAAAATGATTATCTGCCCAATTGAGGTCGAAGTATAAGTTTTAAGGCAAATAAAAGAAAGATTATGCTATCATTATAATTTCTATGCATCTTGTTTGAGGTGTCAACTTGTACTATTGTTGTACTTGTACTTTTTGCCAATGTCCTGTGTTTTCAGGCTACTCCACTCCACACACATTCTACCTCTTTAGATTAATGTTAAAATCATAACCTTTGTGGAGATGTTTGCTTTTAAGGCACAAGTCATTGCTTTAATGTAATAAGTACTCAACTCTTTTAAATATGTTTTTAGACAATGACCTTGTATCAATAAAGAAGACCTTACATATTTCAAAGTTTTCTTATGACTTTTTTGACCATGGCACTACACAGCTGCATAAAATAAAATCTGTATAAGATGTAAATACATTTCATTCAGAAAAGTGCTTTAATCTAACTGATCGGTTTTGAACAAGAAATGAAGAAAAAAAAATACTTTTTCTCATCACTGTAAAAATGTTTCTTCTGTGAAATTATATTCTCTGATGCAGTAACTGGACATATGTTCTGTATAATAAAATGCATAGATGAGTCTTTTAGGCTGGAGGCTGAGAACTCAGAGATGCAAAAAATGTGACTCTCACTTGCCATGCCATGCACATGAAAACACATCACCTAGTAGCTCAGCCCCAACCAGCTGGAAAACTGAGAACAAACTCACCTTCCCCTCCTGATCTCTCCTGAGCCCAACACTCATCAACTAAGGAACCAAACAGTAGGGCTTGTGGTGACCTGTACTAAACAGGATTCTAAGTGGCTGCCTACTGCATGGGAATTGTGTTCTGTTCAAAGCGAGCAAACAAGTATATTGTACAAACCCCATTCCAGAGGCCTCCTTCAGCCGATTTAGAGATAGAGACAGGATAATGCTGTGCAGCCAAATTAGGTTTTGTGCGTGAAGGTGCAGACTAGAGGATTGCGTGTTGCTAGGGATATGGTGGCCTATCACAGTTGATCTTGACAGTGAAAATTGGTGCCTTAATTTCCCAGAGGTCTCCGTTGCTCTTGACTTAGGCCTCATTCTGGTTAATCACGCTGTCATTCCCCCTGCGGACTCTCTTTTGACATCTTCATCTGAATGGAGAAATTAAAGGATGCAGTGGTTACCACTAAAAATACTAAATGAATATAAGGACAGACTCAGACCACTGTGTTTTTTATACTAGATATGTATATTATCTTAGTCTTTTGATGGTAAACTGAACTCTCTTCTTGTATGTACTGTACAGTACATGTTGTAAGCTTAATATTTAAGCACATATAGAACTCTTTGTATTCTAGTTGCCAGAACTTATTTACTTTTAATAAAACAATGCAAAACTGCTTTCTGCTGGTATATACTACAATATAAATATATAATATAATAATACTGCTTCAGATCACATTTTTTCTACTAAACTATAGCACACAGCACATAAATGGCACTGTTTGGGTTAAGAATCAGAGGTGTTTTTATTATGTATTGAGGAGTAACTCCTGACGTATGCCTGCTGATCCACTACGTCATGTGACAATCTAAGGAACAATCAGTCTGACCTTTAACTTACTATGCCTGCTCTGTTAGTATGAGTAAATAGATTAAACCCAGTTTGCAAATAATCCCTTGTTTCTGCCACTAGGAGGGGAGCTGAAATCACTCTCATTCATTTCAATGAACATTGAATCTTAACAAAGACACATTGAGGCTTATATTACTGACTCACAGTTCAGCGTTGTAAAATACATATGTACTGTACAGTATAGATTTGTCTTGCTATTAAAAAAATGATAATTTCTTCAAATTGATGGCAAATAACCTGATTAATGTAAAAACATATATATGCTATCTTCACTGTGACTAATACACAGTGAAGTTTCTTTGACACTGCAAGAGGTCTTGCTTCATATTCATTTGGAGGATTAATACTGAAAGAGGTGCAAAACTGAGATCTTAGTCACTTTAATTGCAGAGCATTTGACTACAATGAAAATAACAACAACAGAATCAAAACTCTCCTTATCAGCTGCAGATAAAGGTGGTCACAAATATGGCCAGAGGGTATATTTATAATATTTTGATCCTGAATGGAGGTGAATTTGTTGGCCTCCTGACAGAGCAAGGACTCAAAAGCACAGTCCTTCAGCTCTTCCTAAGTCAGGACCAAGCAGGCGGTGCGATGGACATTTACACAGAGCTCCCGGTCCACCTTCCTCACTGCCCTATTGATTGGCCTGTTTGATTTACAAAGAAAGTGGCACTTCAGGAGAAAAAAAAAAGATAAATGACCATGACGGTTTTGCCCTGAGCCCTCCCTTTCTGCTAATGACTGAGGAAATGAAGAGTGTTTAGTGTCACATGGCTTGAGGTCAGTACTGAACACAACTATCGGTGGATAACAACAGTAATCAAGAAAACCTGCTCAGGGTAAAACAAGGGCTAAGCCATGCAGGGATCGTCTAGTAAGACTGTCATTTACCATAAAACTGCTGAGGTTTCCCAGACTACTCTTTCTCCCCATTACAGTGTTTCTGACTGGGATCGGTTGTTGCCCAAAATGGATGGTTTATTTTAAGATATTGATATTAAGATCTTGATTGAAGAGATTGAAACAGAAGTCATTGTAATAAATGCTTTTTTGAATTAATCTGTTGCTTTGTTTCTAAATATGGTACAAAGTTACCACACAAACCGCTGAAAGCAATAAAACAACAACATGCAATTGTTTATTGCAGAAATGACATGGAACAAAGTACACTCTGAACAAATTCAAAACACTTTGTGCTGAAAGGAAGTACAGAAATAAGAGACTGTTCATTTTTATGATTCATGAACATGAATTTATACAAAAGAATTGTCTAATTTCTTCAGCAAATGAAGTCTTATGGTTCAATGTAAAGAAAATTGAGTCTGTCTGTGGACATCTTTTTATCAAATGCAGCTCTTCAAGAATTTCTGAGGAGACATGATAATACCTGGGGTGAGATGCTTTTTATAGACTGTTTTTGGTACTGTAAGTGCTTGCAGTGAACAAGAGGCACAGTCACCAGTGACAAGGTGACAGTATTTTTCCAGGACATGATCTGTAGTGTGTCTTACAGGCAGTGTTTTACAGTTTTCAGGTGTGAGCCAAACAAGAGTGTTGACCCTTAAAATGGCTTTATAAAATAGTCTAAAGTGAAATCCATAACACTAAAGCACCTCTGGTGGACAAAGGGTAGTTTCTGCACACTGTAACACCCTGTCAACTCTGCATATTTTCCACAGCAGCAAAGATCACATACTTGATGTCAGATAGATCTTTTATATTACAGATCTTTCATCTATAATATAAAAGGGGTTTTAAAAAGACCATTGCCTAATTTTTAAAAAGATCAGTTCACTCTTCATAACAGGTCAGTTTACATACCGAGGAAACCAAACAGCCCAATCAGATTTTTAATAGTTTTCTTTCCTTGATATTGTCATGGGCACAAAGACAAAAGAGGAATATGCCCCCGGAATAAGTGTTTAGATTTCCAGTTACAGTATATGAAGTTTAAAAAAGAAGATATTCCTTGGAACAAAGACTTTATAAAAAGAAAAGTCAGTAACTCAGTAGTCTATGTGTTCCCTAGTGGAAGAAAAATGTGTGTTCACATAAAAACATATTGTTTGTTCTGCTGAGATTTGAAACTCCTGTCTGCTTGCTTCAGAATTCAAGGACTGCTTCCAGCTAGCCATGTATTCCTGTGATCAATGTCGGTCGGGTGTACACAATTAGTTTTTCCAGTAAATCTCACATGTGAACTCCCTGGATTTCTGTCTACAGAGCTGCAGAGAATAGGTTATTTTTAACCACTGCAGATCTTACGACCCTGTGTATGCACTTTAAACTGTTTTATCTTTACTACCAATGGTTAGGGTCTCATTCTCCAGATTTTATGTTTCAAAACTGTATGAAACTGACATAATTTAAACAAAAGCAGTAGAATGTAATTTAAAAGTGCTGAACGGTTTCATACAGTGATGCATTTATGGATTGGCTTTCTCAAAAAAAAATCCAAACTTTTGTCTTTAAAAATTGACAAAATACTTTTACAAATGGAAAACAAAGACAAATAATAGATAAAATACAACAAATTTCAAGACAAGGAGCACTTACATAAGTAGTGTCACTTTGCATTCCGACGCTTTTCGCCTGTTCATCTGCTGCAAAACGTTTTTGATCATCAACTATACAAGGACAATATATTTCATTTCAGAGTTACAGTAATTTACACTGAGATTGACAGGTCTACATAACAAAACATATGCATACAATGAAGTGATGACTACTGTGAGTTGACATACATAACACATTTTTATTATTTAAAATAACTTGTATAGACTTCTAAAGAGTTTACAAGTTAAAGGGCACCACATAAAGCGATATTTCTCTTTTAAGAATCAATCACATGCAGAGAACTTCAAGAAAAAGAAACCTCCAGGTGTCTTCATTTGCTTACTCAGCACATTGTGACAGAATAAGTTCAAATTCAGACCAGACGCACTGCAATCACATGCAAAGGTTCACACAAACAAATCAATTCTTGGAGCTCTTTCATCTACAACCTTGAGAGCGCTTCTGTATGGATTTATGGGAGCACAGGTTCAGCCAATTAGTAAACTAACAGAAAAGTATCAGAACAGAATATAAACAGTTATGTACAAAAGCACAATGTGATTTTATGCAATAGCATTCTCAGATGCAGTCAGTCTCCATCAGTTTCTGTTGCCATCTGACTCATTATTTTGTATTCATCAATAAAAATAAAAAAAGGATTATTTAAGATTTTAATTAGATGGCTTTCGTTTCAAATCATGTTGGTCAAACTCATCCTAATTTAACTTTTTTTCCAATATTTTTATGCTTCAGGTTTCATCTATTTGAATAAGTAACATGAATAATAATCATGAAATCTGTAGAATGCTACATCAAATGAATCAATTAAGTAGTTTGCAATTTAGGTTCTTAGATGGTTTGAAAAAGGAAGGAAATATTGTTTCTCGACAGTTTATTTCAGCATCCTGAAGGTTTCAATATATTGTAATCAATTAAATAATTAAGATTATGTTAGTAGCATTTGCTGGAATGTCCACAATTATTAGTCTTCTCATCTCTTTGTGTTGTACTGCCTACATAGTTTTACTGGAATCCATTTTGAACTAGATACATATATTGTTCAGTCTTCAGTCTGGTACTGTATATTCTTACTGTAACAGCCATAAACGTATCAATAAAAACAACAAATTAAAAGAAAGCAAGTAAAGAAAAAAACAATTTTTGTGACTTTTTTCAATTTTTCTTAAATTTCCATTACATTAATAATGTAATGTTAGGGAACAAGGGTATCTTATTTTAAAATGATATGTGTGCTAGCACCAAAGATGGTTACCAAAACAGAAATTTGGGCACATCTTGAATTCTGTTTAACGTGCCTCCGCTGCTTGTTTTCAACACCACAGGCTATTATTACGTGTTTTGTAAGTGGTAGCCAGATTCTAAAGAGGTTGTTGTGAAATCAACCAACATTACCTCATTAAGTCAATAATTCATGGCCTCTTTTATCTAAAGTGGCAACCTCACACCATCAATCCACAAAACGGCCACTTCTCCCAAAGTGTATGTAATGATAATAATGGATTTTCCAACAGTACACTTTCAACACAAGGTCAGTACACACATGAAAAACAGACCCACTGTTCTGGCTTGGTTAAAGAAATACAATGTTTATTATCAGATCCAACTGAGAGAATTTCAGAACAGAAGCTCGCACCTTGTGTTAGTTTTTTTTGTGTGTATGCTTATTTTTGTGTATTTTGTCTCACTCAGCACTGTCCCTCTTTCTTTTGATACACACTAGAATGCATTCCTATCTTTGTGAGGGATGTCTGTTCTATTCTATGTACTCAGAGCATATCTCAAATGAAACACCACATGGAGTGAAAATAGACGCACAAATATTTTGCCACCCTTAGCTGTAAGAGAAAATTGATTTTTTTAGACGGGGTAGTTTCTCAGGTTTTGCTTTTACAATGACAATATTACATGCTCACACACACTTTTCATGAACAGAATGCTGTCTGTCTGTGTTTCACGAAGATTAGCATAAGAAACAGGAATTTGTTTTGGGACTACTTGTGATTAAAATATTGAGATGGTGGTATTAAGAAATGTGGAGAAGATGATCTGTCCATCCAATGTAAGAAAGGTATACCTGGTAATGGTACAAATCTGGGCTACACTGTGACAGCATACCAGTACTGTACATCACAGAGCACACATACAGTACATTACACAAGCACATTATAGAAACACCAATTAACATGTGAAGTATAACAATGGCCATAGTGCAAGCAAACCTGAGCAAGAAGAGAAAACTCATGTGGACATGGGGAAACCCAACAGAGAAAGTGGTCTGTGTAGCAACAACACTAAACACCATGCCACCATACTGTCCTGGGAAAAAGAGTAACTGCACTTTAAAGATCTGTATCAGCACTCTTTCAAGGATACAAATTCAACAATTATATCCTTCATCCTGATCTCAGATTTCATCCATATTTTTTACTGAAGGATACTGTACAAGCATTTGTATGGAATGCAAACGTTAGATGCAAAAGTGTGCTGCATACCTCACTGACGTTGTTAAGACTATCCTGAATGAACTGAAACGAATTTAAATAATACTTTTAAAAGTAATATAAAGATCAAGGATTTTTCTGATAATGGCCTTGTTTAGAAACAATTATAACTGCACAAACCATGGTTAAAATTAGAAAATTTCACAGAAATGTACAATGCTTATAACTTTTATACATTAATAATCATTATGATAGTCATGACCATGTTTGTATCCTAGGTGATATAATAGAAAATCATAAGTAAAATATCTTTCACTGAAGAAAAAAATGATTGGAAATCTCCAGATACTTTTAATCTTTAAAAACAACTATCAACTGAATACATTCTATACTCTATATTCTATATTTTATTAGCAATGAGCCTATCCCTTTTTTAATGTGATAATTTCACGGAACCTTCATGTATAAAAAGCTAGTCAAAACTGTGGTATTATTTAAACACAGTGCGGTTTTATGTCAACGACATTTTATTCCTGGACTCTTAATCCTATGTTGAATAAACTGAATAGAGCTCAATAAACGGTATTAACAACACTAGCAATCCTCAGACAAAGGATGAGTGAAAGCTTTGCTTGCAAACCATAAATGCTGTTACCCTGTAATCTACTGTACAAGATGGACAGTCTCGAGAGAGCAGAAATAACTGAGATCAGAGCATCTGACACCTGGCAGAAGAGAAAAAAGTCACTTTACTTTCGTCGTACCTTAACTGCGTTTAAGGAGAAAGAATATAAACAACAACAGTGGTGAGGGGAGGCATGTTTTTTAAAAGCTAAAATTCGTACAGAACTTAACGTGCTCAGCTCTCAGTCTAACGCCTTTTCTGACTCATGTTCTTCTCATGTCCTCTCAAGTAGCACTATAGACCACTTCCTGAGTTGTGAACCAGTAAAATGTGCCTTGCCCTCTGTGTAAGCCTTGAAGATTAGAGATCCTAATCTTTCAAAGATGCCTGTTGACAGACTTACCTGTTATGTTGCACACCGTGTCCGTTGGGGTTTACGACGCTGTTGCGCTGTTGGTATAGTGGGTGGGAAGGGGGGAGGTTACCGCTTTACGACACTTAGGTGTCTTACTGTTCAGTTAGGAGTTGGGCACAATAAAGAGCAGAGGTCTGCGAAACCTGTCCGCCTCGGTCCCTGTTTTTTTTGCGGTCAAACATTACTCTTCAATAAAATTGGTCAGACTATGGAAAACAGCTGTGGATAATGCTAAATTAAAAGATGTTAATTTACAATTACTTTACCTGCATCCTGACTTTTTGCAGTGCATCATGTAGTTATTCCATACGGTATGTTTTACAATTCACAATAATATGTTCACGTAAAGATCAATAAAAACTGAATGCTGGCTTTGCATTGTTGTATTATGGGAATACATCATTTAAATACACAAAACACAAAACAGGACATTTAAAAACACATTTGGCAAGCCACTTCAACACAATTCTATTGTGATTGTTTTCCGGATGAAATCGGACACTGCAGACAACTAATAATAGTAAAACCAGGCAAGTTGAAGAGTTGAAAGCAGTATTTTTTCATTTATTTCTAAAATACGTATTGCTCAGAGGAGTGCTTTTGAAACATTGAAAGTCTCAGCTGAAACGTGCTGACGGATTTTGAATCACTTTAAATCAAATATACATTTGTTCAATTTTTTTTCATGAACATTTGTTCAATAGAGGGTTTGTCCCCAAGCCATTAGATCTGTAGTACCAAAATAGTGTGTGTGGACAACTGGACCATGAGTCTTACCATACCCATGACGGCTGTTGTAACAGATGGATCATGCAAAGAAAGCAGTAACAATTTCATGACATTTACCTCGGGATATTTTGCACTGAAACAAGGCAATGATGCGTTTTATTGGACCCAAGTGAAAGCTGGGCCTACAGTCACTAGTATATCAAGAAACAAGTCTTTTTTAATTGACAAAGCATGGGAATTGTAATCTAAAATCTAATCTAAATCACATATTTAAACAAGGAATTTGATCAAATTAGGTATTTAGTCAAAATTAATCTTGTCATACAGTGTACAGTAATATATATTGAATATATATTCAAGTTTATTTTCATTTTTTAGCAACATATAACTTAAATAATCATCTCAGGATCCAGGTGCCAACTCTGTAACAGAACCACTGCTAATTTCCTGACCACTTATGGAAAAGTTTTTTTTTTCCCACGAGATTAACACAAAAAAAAGAACAATTCTCAAGAGATTTTGTGTGAAATGAAAAGAGAAATGAAAACGCACACAAAGCATGCTCTTAAAACTGTGTAGGACAAAACACTAGTTCTTCAACCCAAATGTAAAACGAAGACATGTGAAGACACTTACCTCTCCCGTGACAGTTACAGCATGTGTTAATATAGTTTTACACATTAGTCCATGCATGGCTACACACAGAGAAATCAATTGGCCAAAGTGAGAGAAAGCTCTCTGTGGTGAAGCAGAGGGATATTCATTCTGTACCCCTAATGTGTAGTTCCATCCCCCTAAACACCACAGGTGTAATTGCAGACATCTTTAGCTTTGTGTAAATACACAAGGAGTCTTGTAATTCTCAATGCCCAGTGAAGAATCCAACTGTTGCAGCTGACAGAACAGACACATAACATATGGATCTGTAACATATACAGGACATATATTACTGGATATTATAAGGAGATGTCCTCAGGTGAAAGCAGTCAAATTCTGCCTGTGTATACTTACAATTTAATGGTATATTTATCTCCCAGAAAATTATACAGAATCACTATTTTAATGAAATGGTTTGATGATGATGATGATGATGATGATGATGATGATGATGATGATGATGATGATGATACTAAGTGAAACATAGCAGTATTAGTACTAGGTCGCTGTGTATCATATTTTTTGTTCTGTGGTTACTCCTGTATTATATGGTTCACATAATGTCTTTAAGTCAGACATGCAAAAAGAAAAGAGATGCAAAGGAAAATGATGAGAAAAGAATGCTAACTACATTATAGGGTGGATGGGCTGAACGGCCTTCTCTCATTGGTAATCAATCTTATATTCTTATGCACTACGTCTGGGCAATTGTATTGTAATGTTAGGAAAATATCCCACAAAGTAATGCAAAGGGTTGCATTAATAATATTCACTACAAATGGTCTATCAGTGTAGTCTATGACTATGATGTAAACCAGCCACTTTTTAGATCACCACATATTCCAGTTCAGACTGAAAAGGGACCAAAGCAGTCAATACTTTTTCAGTGCAGCAGCCTTAACATTTTATTTTTAGGATTTGGAAAATACTTTCATCAATATTCTGCAAGAACTGCTGGATTATCATCTAAAACCTATTAACTGCTTTTAAAATCGACACCTGTAAGAGCAGGCTTAGGATTTTGAAAGCCTCTCTTGTTCTCATAAAAACTGTGAAGTTCAGGTCCAAGAAACTACAGATTTGACTCCACTGACCCATTCTAATTAATGTTTACCAAACGCATAAAAATTAGTCGTTTAATGTTAAAGCTCAGTTCAGTCAAGGATTACTCAGGCTCCCAGTGTTGGTTTCTACCTCAATCTGGGATTCAAGGTCATCCCTCCTACTAACATTCTTTTGTCAGTAAGATGTTTTTAAATCTTTTTTAGTATTGAAGTGGATTTGATTAAATCTTCTCTATATTGTTTCTGGTCCTTTGTTCTCTGTTTAAAAACAGCAGTTAAAAGGGACCACGAGGTGTAGTGGTCTTAAGCCAAGTCTTTTTAACTCAGGAGACTCGAATTAGGATCCAGCTTCACTCACTAGAATTAAGTGGTTTCAGTTTAGTCCCTTCTGAACCATTGTCCACAACACAAAACACAATTACAGTTTCACACAACTGTTAGAGACAATACAGACTGATTTGAGGAAGGCATTTTTACATTCCATGCGTTTAAAGGTTGAATTAACCACATTGGTCAATGAGAACAAAAATTCATATAATATTAATAATAATAATTGCTTACACTTATATAGCGCTTTTCTGGACACTCCACTCAAAGCGCTTTACAGGTAATGGGGACTCCCCTCCACCACCACCAATCTGCAGCATCCACCTGGATGATGCAAAGGCAGCCATAGTGCGCCAGAACGCTCACCACACATCAGCTATTAGTTGGGGGGAGAGCAGAGTGATGAAGCCAATTTATAGATGGGGATTATTAGGAGGCCATGATTGGGCCAGTGGGAAAATGTACACCCCTACTCTTTATGAGAAACGCCCTGGGATTTTTAATGAACACAGAGAGTCAGGACCTCGGTTTTACATCTCATCCGTAGGACGGGGCCTGTTCACAGTATAGTGCCCCCATCACTATACTGGGGCATTAGGACCCACATGGACCGCAGGGTGAGCACCCCCTGCTGGTCCCACTTACACCTCTTCCAGCAGCAGCCTTAGTTTTTCCCAGGAGGTCTCTCATCCAGGTACTGACCAGGCTCACACCTGCTTAGCTTCAATGGGCTGTCAGTTGGGAGTTGCAGAGTGACATGACAATGGTATCTTTAAACATCTTTAACATCACATTGAAAAGAAAAGAAACATTGAAAAGCAGTAGGGTGGCACAGTGGCAAGCATTGCTGCTTTGCAGCACTGGGTTCAATTCTCGACCTGGAGAGTCTGTGTGGAGCATGTACAGTATGTTCTCCCGCTAGTCTGGGTTTCCTTCAGGTCCTCCAGTTTCCTCCCACAATCCAAAAGTATACTGGTACGTTAATTGGCATCTGGGAAAACTGGCCCTAATGTGAGTGTACAGTATGTGAGTCATTGTTTGTGTCTGTGTGTCTGCTCTGTGCTGTGATGGACTAGTGCCCCGTCCAGGGGATATTCTGCCTTTTGCCGTTGCTTGCTGGGACAGCTCCCCCATGATCGATAATTTGGAAGAGGCAGTTAGTAAATGGATGGATGAAAAGCAATACAGAAGTACAGCAGTACAGTACAGAAAAATGATTTAATGTCAAATTGGTAACCAGTTTGCACACTGTTTTGGTCGGAATCATTCAGAAGTCTGAGCTTAGAACCAGCCAGTACCACTGAACTAGTACATATAGTATAATACAGTAGTATACTGTATACTTCATTCAATAATTGATCTTTGATATATATTTGATATATGTTATATGATATATCTCATTGTACTACTACATTAAAAAGACACATGAAAGGATTAGTCAAAGAATATGATACTGTAATACCCTTTTTTATTCTGTTTTTAGGTCATTTAACATTGAAATACATAAAAGGATGAAAGGAAAGATTTGAGTTTCTACAATGCATGTGCTTTCCTGAAACTAATATGCTCAAGCAATCCTGTATTTATTGAGTTTTCGGATCACATTCAAAGGCATACTGAGCATGACTTTAAATGGACTAATCAGCCTGTATGAAGTGGCATTGTATTTAATTTGAGTCTCAACCAATAATTCTTTATCAATGGAGATCCAAGAAACCTCTAATGCAGTAAAATAATTACAGCAAATTGATTTAAAATGCTTATAGAGGTCTGGAGGTTTCACAATGGCTTTGGAACTGCTCTGATTCAGAATCTGCAAGGATGACAGAGGTCAGAGAACAAACCATAAAATTATTTTAGGTGACTGTCACCTTTTCTCCATAACCGCTATGCATTCACCTGCATACTGATATAGCAACTCTTTTTGCTATACCTCAGACACACATCTGGGCTAGGATGGAAGATAAATAAGAAAAATAAATAAACTTCAAAAGATTCCCCTAGTAAACCTCTCTTTTATAAGCATTGCATCCTTCTGCTCCCCTGCTGGGATTTTAATGTTTTGCAAATGATTGCCTTAGCTGGGTCTTGGCTGTAGAGCACATTGTTCTGGTCCATCTACTTTGTTTGGACTTAAATACAAACTTCCCTTAAGACTCTGTGAGCCTTGAGAACACTGAGAAGCTCAAATCGATGCAGTCATCGCTAGTTCAGGAAGTTGTGTCTTTATCTACTTCAAAAACCTTATGAGAACAAAAACATCTTTTATTAGGCTTCTGAATTCCTGG